CTAACTAAACAAATTGTGAACAAAACTAACATTGCTTTTTATTTAAATTAAATACATAATATTATTTCACATCAAAAGAAACAACGTTTTAACAAATCGTATTCAATAATCTGATGACAGAACTGTGAACAGAATAGCTGAAACTTTAACAAAATAAATAACTCAGTTTCCTCTAATCATTAACCCATGTTTGTATAATGTAGTTAACTCCGTGTTGCTGCTAGCATACATAACACCTGACGTGGAAACGTTACTCGTGGATGGGGCTACAGAGCTAATAGAAAGACAGTCGAACCCGGTACATTCCTCCGTCTGAATGTGGAGCACTTTTGATAAATGTTTAGAGAAATTGCTCGTGTTACCGCCCTTACATGCTAAACTCTTATTGCACTTTTGGCAACGAGCATCGAGACGGGTAAAGTTTAACCACACCTCGGAGCGCGTTCTCTCCGCCATCTCCTCCATGTGTGTGTGTTGCTGCATGTAGCAGCTGCGTGTGTGTAAACTGCCCCGCCCCCTCGCAAGCAGGCGGGGGGGAGAGATCTCAAATACTAAAAATAATCATGGACGCATTTTGCAGTCTTTTTGCGTAGCCTATTAGAAACAGAGTTGGCGACACTAAAACTGCAATATAATGTTTATGTAGCAATAATACACATGACATACATTTTTTAGATGTCTCCAGTACCGATAAAAAGACCGTCGGAGCTTAACGGTACCACGGTCTTTAATAATTCAGCCCCGGGGCCCGTTTAATACCGGGGCTCGGTACCCATCCCTAGTGTTGTGTGTAACGAGATTCACTGTAATCACATACACATTTTCAGTAACACAGTAATGTACAACCCAGTCTCACGGCATTTCGTGTTATAGTCACGAAATTAATTTAATCTATTGATTCGTGTTCACCAACACGATTTTCGCCTTCTTTTCGTGTCACACAGAACGATTTTAAAAGCAATGTATTTCTATTGGTAGTGTGTTTCGTGTGCACCACGTCTTTTTGTCCGGTCGGGTCTTGGAAGACCAGAAGCTGTGTGGTTCATAAAAACATGTTCTTACTCAATATCTTACCCTAAGCCTAACCCTATCCCTTTTATTTTAAATTGTATAATGTCAGAGTTTTCTTGCCGTCAGTGAGGAAAAGAAATGGCTCAGAGCCTCAGAATACTGAAATCTGTATTTTTTAAAATCTGTTTTTCCTTCTAATTTGTTATTATTTACTTTGCTTTTAAAATCGTTCTGTGTGACACGAAAAAAATGGCGAAATCGTGTTGGTGAACACGAATCAATAGATTAATTTTGTGACTATAACACGAAATGCCGTGAGACTGTGTTGTAACGCGTTACTGTTATACATTCAGTAATCACACTGCAGTTACTAACATTGCGCGAAAAAATTACTAGATTCTCCCTTTGACAGACTAGAGGGATGGTGCTGCAGTGCAGAGACATGGCTGAGTCATTAACGGCTATAACTCTCGAGGGGTGGAGGTATGCCCATTATTTAAAATGTGTCAGAAGAAAGGACAGGAATGTGACGGTAAGGTAACACAACAACATCACACCTCTCCAAGCACCTGCAGAGGCAACATGCTAACACGAAGCTAGTAGCTAAAGACCCCCGAGTGATCATGTTCTGTTTTCACCGACTGTTAGCTTGTGGTAGCCTATTTTATTAAAGAGCATAAAAGAAAGACTTGTGTTATGTCTTCCTTATTGCACTAGTAATTGTTATTTCAGTCAGACAACTCACGTGTTCTTAATATGTTTATTAGAGCAGCATATAGTTGAGTTTGGCGTCTAGGCTCGGGCCTCATCACTCCACAGATTTACAAAGAACATTGAGTGATGATTAGATAACTATCCCCCGAGCCTACAGGTGGAAGCTGGGGTGGTGGTGGGGCAGGCAAGCAGCACGTGAACGCATCAGTGGCGAACCGTCAGGGCCTTCAAGGTATTCAGAGAATACCCTGGAACACTCAGATAAAACGAACAAAAAATCGATTTAATTATATCAATAAAATGTATATAAAATGAATAAATGAGAATGGTATCCGTGTTGTTGATCTGTAATATTACAGTGTTACGTTGATTTGTTTGTCCTTCTCGGACCATGCTACGCATTTCAGTGGTGTTGTGTTAGAAAATAAAGCAACCAATCAGATCTTGTTCTGGGTCTCTGGGTAGAATATCCTTCAACCAAGGTATTCTACATCCTTGATCGAATGCCCTGGCCGTTGCACTGAATGAGAGCGTACGTTTGGACTGACAGTTTGATCAACCAATCAGATATTGATTTGAAGCCAATGGGCGTATTCTTTCAGAGTTTCCCTCGGTTCCAGGGTGCTCTAGAACCTCATTCACACCAACGGTGTTTCAGGGCCGGTTCGGAGCTGGAGCTTGAAAAGCACCGGGTTTTCCTGTTCACACCGCAGCGGAGCAGCCTCTTAGCTCCGGAATCTGGTTCGTTTCAAGCACCAAAAAATTGTCCGGCCAGAGCAAAAGCACCGCATATGTCACGCTTACGTCGAGGCGGGGGCAGGGGCGGGATCAACTCCTGAACAACAACAAAAAGCCAGCGTTTTATCCAGTTTATACACAACGATGGAGAAACTTAACAAGCAGCAGTGGTCCACTGAAGAGACCAGCTACCTACTGGGAATCTGGTCTTCCGAAGAGGTGCAGAGGAAGCTGGAGCACAATCGGCCATTGTTGTTGTTGTCGGTGTCAGCTGTGAGGGGTTTCCCCGCGGTCTGGCTTTATGAAGCAGGCAAGCCAACGGTTACGCAATGACGCAGCACCAGTCGGACTCTGGGCAGTGTGAAAAGAGCTGGAGCTAAACCTGAAAAGCTCTAGCACGGAGCTTATAGAAGGCCCGCTAGTTAACTGGCTCGAGACAGAGGATCTAGAATGCGACGAAGTAATTCATGCCGTTTTATTGTTTTTGACGTTGAAATGACAAGTGCAACAGGTGAAGATGAAGTTGTTGCGGAATTGTTGTGAGTACCCTTTTCAAGATTACAATTCAGTGAAAAGACGGACATTATAATGCCGCGGAGGGGGGGGGGGGGGGGGTGTGTCTACAGAAGGTCCAGTTGTGATAGACACGGTTCGCCACTGGAACGCATCAGCAATGTGACAGAGCCGCAGCATTAGAGCATTAGCGAGGCAGAGGCAAGAAGACCTGGCAGCTTAAATAGAGCGGCAAGTTAAGGAGATTGTGTTTGTTGGTTGTAAGAGAGACGCGTCACGTGTTAATGTATCATTGGTGCTCGAGTTGACTGCCTGAACTAGCTCGCAGGCTTCACCCCATATGTGTGCACATGTAGGCCTAAGTTAGAAGTTTTGGCTATAGGCTGTTGCTGAGTAACACAAAAGTAATAATGTAACGACTTTATGCAGAGAGTAAAGAAGTAAAGTAATATATTACTTTTTGTTTTAAAGAAATGAGTAACGACCCCATCACTGATTATCACACACACAACCAATCAAACAAGAGCAAACAATGAAAGTTGTGGAGAGGCCGAAAAACTGCACTTAAAGTCTATAAGCCTCTGGGAAACATAGTTTCTTGACTTTCTGTAAATGTGAATGCACAGCAGAGCGATAGCAATGGGAGGTCGAGGCCTTACTAATGCGTCGGAAAGCTAATGGGGCCCATTAATAAGGATTTGGTTTACGGCTTGAAGCCTATAGGTTCTGTGTGAGAGCAAGGAGGAATAAAGATGAACGGTAATTCATCTTCTGCGGTTAGCGCTCCATTGAGATAAATGCCTGAATAAAGACTCTAAATAAAACATGAATCACATCGCCCTTGAATCTTCAGCGTTAACATTGTGTGTGTGTGTGTGTGAGCAACATCCATTTGTGTTGTTTTTTTCTACATGTATTCTTTTGACATGTAGATAGACTTTTTGCAGTACTTTGTATTTTATTACATATGTTGCATTGTTGGAGCTCAGGTCAGAAGAATTTCATTGCCATTTCTACACTGTAGCTTTGAGCACATGACAATAAAACCTTTGAATTTAAATTGATTGAATTGATAAATCTATCGATTAGATTTATGATTAGAAAATGATAAAAGTAGGGCAGACATGTGGAGATTATCCGGCTGAACAAAACGTGCATTTATCAAACAGGCGGCAGACAGCCTATCCGTGAGAGAGTGCGCTTAAGACCTTCCTTTTTGATAAAGCTTATAGTTAGGGCTGATTAGATTCAGCCCCTAGTTTTGCTGCTATAGGCTTAGACTGTCGGGGGACACCTTACTTCTTCCTTCTCTCTGTCTGTACCTGTGTACTCTCATGTTCCGATTAACCCAGCTTCCCCAAATATCTTTTTGGTGTCTATCTACGCCGGGATCCTGAGTCCTGATCTGAGTCCTGGACTTCGAGTCGTGGCTGAACCTGTCTCTGAGGTCCTGCCTGACTCTCACCATACTACTTCCCCACAGGATTGTTGACATCCTCGTGGATTCATCTCCTTATTATACACACATGCATTTCTAAACATTTGTCTACCTATGTTGTAAATGTATTATCTTTTCGACATCTATTGCACGTCTGTCCGTCCTGGGAGAGGGATCCCTCCTCTGTTGCTCTCCCTGAGGTTTCTCCCATGTTCCCTTTAAACTGTGGGTTTTCTCTGGAAGTTTTTCCTTGTACGATGTGAGGGTCTAAGGACAGAGGGTCTGAGGACAGAGGGTCTGAGGACAGAGGGTGTCGTATTGTCATACTGATATTCTGTACAAACTGTGAAGTCCACTGAGACAAATGTAACATTTGTGATATTGGGCTATATAAATAAACATTGATTGATTGATTGAGGTTCGTTTTCCACAGATCTTATTTTTTACAATATCCCTAAACCCTATGGTGAAATCGCATTGCTTTTTCGTCGAGGGAACCCTTGCGCAGCTTACTTCCAGGTCGGCCTACACAAATAAGTCATCCCTGCATCACCCTGCAGAATTGAAATGTTAGATTTTCTTATACCTTGAACTCCATGGGTGTGTACTTCTCGTTCTTTGGCGTGGTGTTGCCCTTGTAGTTGAGGTGGTTGGGGGTGGTGGGGTGGATGACGGCTGACTCCTGCGAAGGCTTATGGAAGCGCTGACAGTAGACATAGATCAGGAAGGACAGAAGCCCCGCCCCCAGGAAACAGGAAACTCCAGTGGCGATCAGGTGGATAGAGGTGAACGCTGGGAGAAGAAGAAGACACGTGGAGTGTTAAGATATGTTATCACATCCTGGTGCGAAAACGTTCATCCCACATTACTGGCTTTATGTCATACATCCAATACAATGTAAATGCTGAATTAGGTTAAAGAGGCCATTTGACCCTTTTCTGGGTTTTCTCTGTAGTGTGTTCTATACGTTTTAGTGCATGTAAATAGTCTACAAAGGCTAAAATCCCTGTGTTTCTATTCCACACACTTCCCCCCCCCCCCCCACCCTGCCTGAAACACCTCCATTGGACTCCTTTGTTTACTTCCACAACATTACATCACATTACATGTTAGATGCTTTTACATGCTCAATACTGTGGGCAATCCCCACAGGAGCAATTTGGGGTGAAGTGTCTCAGGGACACAACGACATGCTGACTGCAGTGGGGTTTGAACCTGTGACCCCCTGACCCAACACCAACGCACAACCCACTGCACCACACGCCTCCCCACAACAAAGTGACATCACTATTATGTCCTGTTACAACCCGGCTCGTGGGTAAGTAACACCCGCGCTTCTATTGGCTAGCGCTCCAACACATTGTACGTGATAGGCTAAGGGGCGGGACATCTCTAAGCGGTTGACCAATCACAACAGAGCCGGCCAGCTAACCAATCAGAGCAGACTGGGCTCTGGTTTCAGACAGAGGGTGAAAAGAGGTGCTGCAGCACAGGCAGTATGAGAACAATAAAGAGCTTTTTGAACATTAAAGCATGGAGACATGTAGAGACACTACATACTGATATACACCTGAACATCAGCAGGAGAGGACTCTTTAAAGTAGAGACACTACATACTGATATACACCTGAACATCAGCAGGAGAGGACTCTTTAAAGTAGAGACACTACATACTGATATACACCTGAACATCAGCAGGAGAGGACTCTTTAAAGTAGAGACACTACATACTGATACACACCTGAACATCAGCAGGAGAGGACTCTTTAAAGTAGAGACACTACATACTGATATACACCTGAACATCAGCAGGAGAGGACTCTTTAAAGTAGAGACACTACATACTGATATACACCTGAACATCAGCAGGAGAGGACTCTTTAAAGTAGAGACACTACATACTGATATACACCTGAACATCAGCAGGAGAGGACTCTTTAAAGTAGAGACACTACATACTGATATACACCTGAACATCAGTAGGAGAGGACTCTTTAAAGTAGAGACAATACATACTGATATACACCTGACATCAGCAGGAGAGGACTCTTTAAAGTAGAGACACTACATACTGATATACACCTGAACATCAGCAGGAGAGGACTCTTTAAAGTAGAGACACTACATACTGATATACACCTGAACATCAGCAGGAGAGGACTCTTTAAAGTAGAGACACTACATACTGATATACACCTGAACATCATCAGGAGAGAACTCTTTAAAGTAGAGACACTACATACTGATATACACCTGAACATCAGCAGGAGAGAACTCTTTAAAGTAGAGACACTACATACTGATATACACCTGGACATCAGCAGGAGAGGACTCTTTAAAGTAGAGACACTACATACTGATATACACCTGAACATCAGCAGGAGAGGACTCTTTAAAGTAGAGACACTACATACTGATATACACCTGAACATCAGCAGGAGAGGACTCTTTAAAGTAGAGACACTACATACTGATATACACCTGAACATCAGCAGGAGAGGACTCTTTAAAGTAGAGATACTACATACTGATATACACCTGAACATCAGCAGGAGAGGACTCTTTAAAGTAGAGACACTACATACTGATATACACCTGAACATCAGCTGGAGAGGACTCTTTAAAGTAGAGACACTACATACTGATATACACCTGAACATCAGCAGGAGAGGACTCTTTAAAGTAGAGACACTACATACTGATATACACCTGAACATCAGCAGGAGAGGACTCTTTAAAGTAATGACACTACATACTGATATACAGCTGAACATCAGCAGGAGAGGAGTCTTTAAAGTAGAGACACTACATACTGATATACACCTGAACATCAGCAGGAGAGGACTCTTTAAAGTAATGACACTACATACTGATATACAGCTGAACATCAGCAGGAGAGGACTCTTTAAAGTAATGACACTACATACTGATATACAGCTGAACATCAGCAGGAGAGGACTCTTTAAAGTAGAGACACTACATACTGATATACACCTGAACATCAGCAGGAGAGGACTCTTTAAAGTAATGACACTACATACTGATATACAGCTGAACATCAGCAGGAAAGGACTCTTTAAAGTAGAGACACTACATACTGATATACACCTGAACATCAGCTGGAGAGGACTCTTTAAAGTAGAGACACTACATACTGATATACACCTGAACATCAGCAGGAGAGGACTCTTTAAAGTAGAGACACTACATACTGATATACACCTGAACATCAGCAGGAGAGGACTCTTTAAAGTAATGACACTACATACTGATATACAGCTGAACATCAGCAGGAGAGGAGTCTTTAAAGTAGAGACACTACATACTGATATACACCTGAACATCAGCAGGAGAGGACTCTTTAAAGTAATGACACTACATACTGATATACACCTGAACATCAGCAGGAGAGGAGTCTTTAAAGTAGAGACACTACATACTGATATACACCTGAACATCAGCAGGAGAGGACTCTTTAAAGTAATGACACTACATACTGATATACAGCTGAACATCAGCAGGAAAGGACTCTTTAAAGTAGAGACACTACATACTGATATACACCTGAACATCAGCTGGAGAGGACTCTTTAAAGTAGAGACACTACATACTGATATACACCTGAACATCAGCAGGAGAGGACTCTTTAAAGTAGAGACACTACACACTGATATACACCTGAACATCAGCAGGAGAGGACTCTTTAAAGTAGAGACACTACATACTGATATACACCTGGACATCAGCAGGAGAGGACTCTTTAAAGTAGAGACACTACATACTGATATACACCTGAACATCAGCAGGAGAGGACTCTTTAAAGTAGAGACACTACATACTGATATACACCTGAACATCAGCAGGAGAGGACTCTTTAAAGTAGAGACACTACATACTGATATACACCTGAACTTCAGCAGGAGAGGACTCTTTAAAGTAGAGACACTACATACTGATATACACCTGAACATCAGCAGGAGAGGACTCTTTAAAGTAATGACACTACATACTGATATACACCTGAACATCAGCAGGAGAGGAGTCTTTAAAGTAGAGACACTACATACTGATATACACCTGAACATCAGCAGGAGAGGACTCTTTAAAGTAATGACACTACATACTGATATACAGCTGAACATCAGCAGGAAAGGACTCTTTAAAGTAGAGACACTACATACTGATATACACCTGAACATCAGCTGGAGAGGACTCTTTAAAGTAGAGACACTACATACTGATATACACCTGAACATCAGCTGGAGAGGACTCTTTAAAGTAGAGACACTACATACTGATATACACCTGGAAATGATGAGAATAGAGCCCCTTTAAGACACATTTTAAACAGGCAGAGCAAAGGCTCCTAACGTAGGGGTGTTGGTGGGGAAATCAATCTATTTAAGAATCTCAATTCCTATATTTTCAACTTTGACTGACAGAGAATACTGAGGCTTTACTCAGGATTGTACTTTTGGCTTTGTACTTCCTGTCGGTCATTTTGGTTTCATACAGGGTTGTGAAAATAATCTTTAGTTTGCACATGAGTCTCAAAACGTTTTTTAAAAGATGTGGCCCGTCCTGGTGACACTGTAGTGTACATACCTTTGTTCTTGCTCCTCTGACAGACAGAGAAACACATGAACATGCACATGTAATGCATGAACACACACATCATGGTCAGACACCTGAGGACACATACAGGGAAAACGTAGACATGCACAACAACGTGAGGCAGCTGTTCATCCACTCACCTCCACAGTGTTGGTCCTTATCAAAACCAGATGCAGGGAGAATGACTGCAGAGAAGAGGAACACAGGGTCAGACACAAACATGCACACACACATGCACACACACACTCTCTGCAGACACAAACATCGAGGGGAGTTGACACATGCAGAAACAAAAACAGAGAATGAGAAGTGGTGTTAAAAATGTTGCGCAAACTGTCCATTGAGAGTTTTTTGGATCAGTGTATCGTGGGCCATTTCGTCAGATTGAACCTCTCTACATGCTGTTAAAGAGCCATCAGTTACAGCTACGACACAATCATTTAAAGCTACAAATGCTCCTGCCCCTACAAATCCTCAAAGGGAGTGGGCAGGGTTAATGTGTGTGTGTGTGTGTGGTTTTAATTGCAGTGCCACATCTCCTGATAATTTTTTTTGGCCTAATTCGTCAGTTTCCTCACTGCCGCCTCCCCTCTGCGTGTGACCTTAACAAATCCATCTAGCGCCTCATTGAAATTTGCAATAAAATTAGATGTGATTTGGTGTTGTGACAACCCATTAATATTAATCGCCTTCATGTGGACTCATTAGGGATTCACGGCGTGGAGAGGCCTCTGCTGGCAGGCCATGAAAGATCATCTCATGAGAAACTTTCTGAGATAGATAACTCGCTGATTCACATGGTCCTATTACCACTAATTAACAGCAGCAGATTACTTTAGAGCACAAGGAGAACGGTGGCTACGCGCACACACACACACACACACACACACACACACACACACACACACCATTTGTGATGGGTGAGGATGATGACTGATGGCGCTGATGCTGTGTACATATTTGACGATGAAAGACAGACAAATAGTGTCCTAAAATCACAACCTGTTGCTTTTGAATGAAGCAGCCAATTAAGAGAAAGGGGGACTAAAGCATTTTGGGCTAAACTTGAAGTCCCCCCCAAAGATGTGAGCGAACAGTGTGTGGGAAAACTTTGTCACCCCTTAAAATGGATAAAATACCAGTAGAAATATTGAGTTTGTATGTCAGCTTCTTGTCTTAGCATCATAGTAAAAGGTAGTGTTTAGATCATTGGCCAGAAAATGTTAATTGAAAATAATAGGTATTTTATTTGCCAGTTGCTTACGTTTTCCTACATTTCTGAGCCGTTGTAATATTTACGTTTTATTATGGATAACACAAACTATGTAACCATTATTAAAAGACCAAAACACTAGAACAGAAAGCACGTCAAGTACTCTCCGTGTGAAGAGGTGCACTCTTTTACACAATTATATTTGTAAAGGCTTCATACTATTTTCTCCTGATAAAGGTTCCCAAAACAAGTGGAGAGCATGCAGTCTATTTTTGGATGTTCAACAGGTTGCTTCCTCCACACTCTAACGAGAGGATGTTGCCCTCGAGGAACCTTAGAGAGCTCAGACAGTTTTGTAGGAGGCTGCACCGGTCAGAGATGGCAGAAGTACCCACATGCTTTACTCAAGTAGAAGTACAGATACTCGTGTTTAAAAATACTCTGGTGAAAGTAGAAGTACTGACTAAACTTCTTTACTCAAGTAAAAATAAAGAGGCTTTGAAATGTACTTCAGTAAAAAGTACCCATAACTAGCAGCTGTTTTAAAGAGTACCTGACCTCCCTTTATATCAATAGAACAATAATGTCATTGTTAGCTAATGAATGTTTCCATGCTGAACAACGGCAACATGACAACGTTTCCATTGGTCCCTCTTCTTTAGAGAAGACCAGGAAATGATGGATACACGGATCGTGTTCAAATCAATAGGCACGCAATGACTCTAAAGAATAATGATCACGCATCAAACACACATTCAGACTAAAGGAACCAGCTGTTTGGAAAATGAGAGAAGTAGAAAGTACAGGTATTTGTGTTCAACATGTGAGAAGTAGAAAGTACAGGTATTTGAGTTCAACATGTAAGAAGTAGAAAGTACAGGTGTTTGTGTTCAACATGTAAGAAGTAGAAAGTACAGGTATTTGAGTTCAAAATGTAAGAAGTAGAAAGTACAGGTATTTGTGTTCAACATGTGAGAAGTAGAAAGTACAGGTATTTGTGCTCAACATGTAAGAAGTAGAAAGTACAGGTATTTGAGTTCAACATGTAAGAAGTAGAAAGTACAGGTATTTGTGCTCAACATGTAAGAAGTAGAAAGTATTTGTGTTCAACATGTAAGAAGTAGAAAGTACAGGTATTTGAGTTCAACATGTAAGAAGTAGAAAGTACAGGTATTTGTGTTCAACATGTAAGAAGTAGAAAGTACAGGTATTTGGGTTCAACATGTAAGAAGTAGAAAGTACAGGTATTTGGGTTCAACATGTAAGAAGTAGAAAGTACAGGTATTTGTGTTCAACATGTGAGAAGTAGAAAGTACAGGTATTTGTGTTCAAAATGTAAGAAGTAGAAAGTACAGGTATTTGAGTTCAACATGTGAGAAGTAGAAAGTACAGGTATTTGTGTTCAACATGTAAGAAGTAGAAAGTACAGGTGTTTGTGTTCAACATGTAAGAAGTAGAAAGTACAGGTATTTGAGTTCAACATGTGAGAAGTAGAAAGTACAGGTATTTGTGTTCAACATGTAAGAAGTAGAAAGTACAGGTATTTGTGTTCAACATGTAAGAAGCAAAAGTAAAAAGTCGTCAGAAAAATATGTAGTGGAGTAAAGTACTGATACCAGAAACATGTACTTAAGTACAGTAACGAAGTATTTGTACTCCACTACTTCCCACCTCTGTGTGAATCTGTCTGTCTCACCGGGTATTTCGTTGCAGTCTCTTCTCTGAGTGCTGTTCCCCAAACAGGGCGAGCTTCCCTGAGCTCCACACACCCGACTCCTCATCTGCAGGCCCGAGTCATCGCAGGCGGACCACAGCGACCAGGCCATCCAGCCACCTGAACACAGAGACAAGGGATCAATACTACCGTAGACATTTAAGTGCTATTTAATCATAGATTTCATTTCATTTGTATTTGTTCCGTTCATGGTATGTACAACTTAATGTATAACAATTATTTAAAAAACATGTCTCTATACCCGAAAAGGAGCAGGGAGAAATAGAAATAGATGGTCTGTCCTTTATATTTTCGTATTCACAGCCAATCATAACTACGGAAGAGGATTAGGGCCATATTAATTATTTTTTTGGGAGGATTTGAAAAAATGTTTTAAAGTCAGAATTATAATATAGCTATAAAAAATATAAAATATATAATAAATATATATATAAAAATATAAATGTTTTGTTCTGAGAATTCTGACTTTTTTCTCAGAACAAAAAAATTATATTTGTTTTTTATAAAAACAATTCTGACTTTAATCTAAGAATTCTGAGATTAAAATCAGAATTCTGACTTTTTTCTCAGAACAAAAAAAATACCCTCTTCCGTACACAACAGTATCGTAGGAAAATAAGAGAAACACAAAAACGTACAAAAAAACGTAGTTCCCACCAACATGTTTGTGTTTTATTGATCCCTCTTTGTCTTATTCTTTAATGTTGTGAGTGTTACATCGGATCCATGACGCGGCCACCCAAGCTGTCGGCACCCACCGCCACCTCCGACCTTCCCCAGCCAAACAAACAGCCCCAAAACACACCAGAGAGTGTGTGTGATGTAAACAGGATTGGAGAGAGTCACCCCTCAGAGAGCTTGTTTAGTGCATAGTGGAGATGTTTGTCTCCTGAGCCAAGCTTTAGAGCCGTTTCCCCGCAGCAGCCGACCGAGCAGTAAACAAAGGCTTCTCTCCAAGAGGAAATTCCCAACAAACATCTCCCTTTGAACCATGCACTCACTGCACCCTCTGTTTTAGAAAGCACCCAAAGTGGAGGGCTACTGCAGTGAAAGGCTGATGGAAAAAGATGGTTTGTTATTCAGGGAGATCCCGAGTGAGCAGCTTTTTGGCTGAGAGTGGCTGAGGACCGGCCTCTTTTACCTTTCCTATCAGTCAGCTGCTCACCGTCAGGCTGCTCACCGTCAGGCTGCTTCCTCTGCACCATCTGCTCCCTCCTCAACACACAGCCATCTACGCACACACACACACACACACACACACACACACACACACACACACACACACACACACACACACACACACACACACACACACACACACACACACACACACACACACACACACACACACACACACACACACACACACACACACACACACACACACACACACACACACACACACACACACACACACACACACACACACACACACACACACACACACACACACACACACACACACACACACACACACACACACACACACACACACAACACACCAATACACCAATACAGCCCACTTTAATTGCTTCATTTATTCCCATTTATTCGCGTCACCGGGACGACCTGCGTGATGGTACTGTTGAGTCTGGAGGAACCTGAGGCTCCTCGTTAGTATTCTGTCCTTCCCGCTGTCCTCCATTACTGCTGGAAACTTTAATCAAATGACCTGCGACAGAGGCTTCAAATATGCCCGTGACTGACAGCCAGCTTGTCTTTAATTACACATGCAGAGGGGGTGGTGGCACTAGCAGGACCCCGATAGATGACTGATGCTGTGCCTGTCAATAAACTAATGGACGAGGAGACGAATCGGGGCTGGAGTGATTGTTAGCCGACTGTCATAGAGAAAGAAGCCTCAATGGGTCCTATTAAACACAGAGGAATTAACCTGATAAAGGCCACAACAAAAAAGCCATTAGACTTTTTAACTGTAAGCCAGGCTGAGTTTAAAATGTTCTTTTCCAGTTGAATGACAGTCAGGCTGATTCAAAATGAAAATCAGCTTAGCAAGGACGAAACAAATATTACATCCAAGCTAAAAAACATCCTGTAAAACACATCACTTGCGGACAAATATGCAATCACCCTCTGACAATGATTATCTGTCGAGGCCATTTTTGTTTCCCAGAAGATTGAACCCATAAATAGGTGAACATCACATTTTGGTGACAACGCGTTGAAGGCTGTTTGATATTAAAGCTCAGAATCCGAGTCGGGCTGAATCCTTATAAGTTTTGATGCTGGATTTTCTTTTTCCTTCTCCTTGTGGATTAACAGGCGGATCTCTCATGAATATTTCAGTGTCCTTGCAGGAGCAGAATGGGACGGGAAGGGGGACACGGGGCGTTGTTATACATCTCACATCTCATCATCGTGGTGCGGGGAGGCAAGGGTGAGTGAAAAGAAAACCGTTGGCATTGGGAATTAGTTTTCCAAATTAGTTTTTGTGTCTTCTTGTGTTATTAAAGATGTGATAAAACTATTAAAGAATCAGTTTGTACCTAAAAATCCATTTTTCTCACTTACCTAAAGTGGAATCTTGATAGTTTTCCTTTTAATTATCCAGGTTTTAAGACGTTTACCCTTGAGATTGTTTGTGTCCTCCTCAACAGAGGCAAAATAAATTACATTTGTGGTTTCTCGCAGCATTAAAAAGTTTAAATGTTAGAAAAACAGCAACGTTTTTTTCCTAAAGTCTCTTTTCCACAGATAACTCAGAAGTTAACAATAAACAAAACTTTAGTAATTGTTGTGTGATATTTCTTTGCCTATAAACAGTATAAAAATGTGCCCTCTGGTCAGTGGTGGACTGGCCATCGGGACGTTCGGTCACTAGAACCCCCCCCCTGTTGACAATCAACTAGCGGTATTTACTTGCAGTACCGAGGTGGGCCAGTCGGATAAGTCACTAGCACCCCCCCGCTGTTGACAATCAACTAGCGGTATTTACTTGCGGTACCGAGGTGGGCCGGTCGGATAAGTCACTAGCACCCCCCCGCTGTTGACAATCAACTAGCGGTATTTACTTGCGGTACCGAGGTGGGCCGGTCGGATAAGTCACTAGCACCCCCCCCCCCTGTTGACAATCAACTAGCGGTATTTACTTGCGGTACGGAGGTAGGCCGGTCGGATAAGTCACTAGCACCCCCCCGCTGTTGACAATCAACTAGCGGTATTTACTTGCGGTACCGAGGTGGGCCGGTTGGATAAGTCACTAGCACCCCCCCCCCTGTTGACAATCAACTAGCGGTATTTACTTGCGGTACCGAGGTGGGCCGGTCGGATAAGTCACTAGCACCCCCCCCCTGTTGACAATCAACTAGCGGTATTTACTTGCGGTACCGAGGTAGGCCGGTCGGATAAGTCACTAGCACCCCCCCCGCTGTTGACAATCAACTAGCGGTATGTACATGCGGTACCGAGGTGGGCCGGTCGGATAAGTCACTAGCACCCCCCCCCCTGTTGACAATCAACTAGCGGTATTTACTTGCGGTACCGAGGTAGGCCGGTCGGATAAGTCACTAGCACCCCCCCCTGTTGACAATCAACTAGCGGTATTTACTTGCGGTACCGAGGTGGGCAGGTCGGATAAGTCACTAGCACCCCCCCCCCCCCTGTTGACAATCAACTAGCGGTATTTACTTGCGGTACCGAGGTAGGGCCGGTCGGATAAGTCACTAGCACCCCCCCCCGCCTGTTGACAATCAACTAGCGGTATTTACTTGCGGTACCGAGGTGGGCCGGTCGGATAAGTCACTAGCTCCCCCCGCTGTTGACAATCAACTAGCAGTATTTACTTGCGGTACCGAGGTGGGCCGGTCGGATAAGTCACTAGCACCCCCCCGCTGTTGACAATCAACTAGCGGTATTTACTTGCGGTACCGAGGTGGGCCGGTCGGATAAGTCACTAGCACCCCCCCCCTGTTGACAATCAACTAGCGGTATTTACTTGCGGTACCGAGGTAGGCCAGTCGGATAAGTCACTAGCACCCCCCCCTTGTTGACAATCAACTAGCGGTATTTACTTGCGGTACCGAGGTGGGCCGGTCGGATAAGTCACTAGCACCCCCCCGCTGTAGACAATCAACTAGCGGTATTTACTTGCGGTACCGAGGTGGGCCGGTCAGATAAGTCACTAGCACCCCCCCGCTGTTGACAATCAACTAGCGGTTTTTACTTGCGGTACCGAGGTGGGCCGGTCGGATAAGTCACTAGCCCCCCCCCCCCTGTTGACAATCAACTAGCGGTATTTACTTGCGGTACCGAGGTAGGCCGGTCGGATAAGTCACTAGCACCCCCCCCCTGTTGACAATCAACTAGCGGTATTTACTTACGGTACCGAGGTGGGCCGGTCGGATAAGTCACTAGCACCCCCCCGCTGTTGACAATCAACTAGCGGTATTTACTTGCGGTACCGAGGTGGGCCGGTCGGATAAGTCACTAGCACCCCCCCCGCTGTTGACAATCAACTAGCGGTATTACTTGCGGTACCGAGGTAGGCCGGTCGGATAAGTCACTAGCACCCCCCCCCTGTTGACAACAACTAGCGGTATTTACTTGCGGTACCGAGGTAGGCCGGTCGGATAAGTCACTAGCTCCCCCCCGCTGTTGACAATCAACTAGCGGTATTTACTTGCGGTACCGAGGTGGGCCGGTCGGATAAGTCACTAGCACCCCCCCCGCTGTTGACAATCAACTAGCGGTATTTACTTGCGGTACCGAGGTGGGCCGGTTCGGATAAGTCACTAGCACCCCCCCCCTGTTGACAATCAACTAGCGGTATTTACTTGCGGTAACCGAGGTAGGCCGGTCGGATAAGTCACTAGCACCCCCCCCCTTGTTGACAATCAACTAGCGGTATTTACTTGCGGTACCGAGGTAGGCCGGTCGGATAAGTCACTAGCACCCCCCCACTGTAGACAATCAACTAGCGGTATTTACTTGCGGTACCGAGGTGGGCCGGTCAGATAAGTCACTAGCACCCCCCCGCTGTTGACAATCAACTAGCGGTTTTTACTTGCGGTACCGAGGTGTGCCGTCGGATAAGTCACTAGCCCCCCCCCCCTGTTGACAATCACTAGCGGTATTTACTTGCTGGTACCGAGGTGGGCCGGTCGGATAAGTCACTAGCACCCCCCCCCTGTTGACAATCAACTAGCGGTATTTACTTACGGTACCGAGGTGTGCCGGTCGGATAAGTCACTAGCACCCCCCCGCTGTTGACAATCAACTAGCGGTATTTACTTGCGGTACCGAGGTGGGCCGGTCGGATAAGTCACTAGCACCCCCCCGCTGTTGACAATCAACTAGCGGTATTTACTTGCGGTACCGAGGTGGGCCGGTCGGATAAGTCACTAGCACCCCCCCCTGTTGACAATCAACTAGCGGTATTTACTTGCGGTACCGAGGTAGGAGGCCGGTCGGATAAGTCACTAGCACCCCCCCCCCCCCCTGTTGACAATCAACTAGCGGTATTTACTTGCGGTACCGAGGTGGGCCGGTCGGATAAGTCACTAGCACCCCCCCGCTGTTGACAATCAACTAGCGGTATTTACTTGCGGTACCGAGGTGGGCCGGTCGGATAAGTCACTAGCACCCCCCCCCCTGTTGACAATCAACTAGCGGTATTTACTTGCGGTAAATCACTAGCAGCCCGGTCGAGCGTCCCGGGCTGATTTTTAGTCCCAGTCCGCCCCTGTCTCTGGATACACTGGCATTCGAAACTTCGGACACATGATGTAAAACTACCCTAAAGTTAAGCAACCAGAGGAAATCTCTTTTTAAAACGTTCCAAAGGTTTCCATGGATCTCAGAGCTGCGGCAGCACAGCGAGGTTTGAGCATGAGTTGTTTATTTTAGCATGACTGTTAATCTCTTCGTACAGCTAAGACCTGGTTTGTTCATTAGGCAAATTATGAAAGAAGGAATTTAGCGACGACACAGAGACGGTACGGTGAGAGAGAGGATTGCCTGTCTGGAGGCGGGGTTAAGAGGTGATGCACGACAGGGTTACAGTTTGAATTTTTGAACAGAGAATATGAACTGCTACCATCTAATGCGAGATTCATTAAAGTCAATCTGAAGCATCCTTTGTGCTCCAGTCAGTCCTCTCAGAGCTGAATCCAGATCAAACGCACGCTGAAGGCTCTTTGAGCATGTTCTCTCTCAGTGATCGTGCCGTTATGTTAAATGTGTGTTGTTTGTTTTTCATGTAGTGTGTCTTGATATGTGTCTGTTGAAGTTACACATGGCGCTGCTGTGATGCAAGTCACATTTCAGACTTGATCTGACCACTCAAGTATTATCGTATCGTATCGAATGTATGTGTGCCCTTACCATCGCAGGTGTGTGTGTTGCACAGCGCCTCCTCAGTGTGGAGGCCCAGGCAGATTTCCCCTCCGTTAGCGGGCGCCGGGCTATTACAGGAGCGAGTCCTCTGGTAGTGACCCCCCCCACAGCCCACTGAGCACTGGGACCAGGACGACCAGCAGGACCACGCACCTTTCACTGTAACACACAACACAAGAGCAATGGTTATTTGAAAGGTCAGTGTTTGGCATCCTCCATCATCATTTACTTTTGAGGATTTTTGAGATTAATTGAATCCCCAGATCTCCTAGATTTCAAGTTTCAAGGCTGTATCTCCATTAGCATATTAGCTACAGTGTAGATATGGCTCATCCAACAGTGCAACATGTTAGGATCTAGAACAAATAAAACAGACAAAATAGTGCAAGAGAATGTTTGGAGATGAGCAAGTAAATACAAATCAAATAGAATATCATTTTGTATTTGTTTTATTTGTATTTGTGCGTATTCGGAAACAGTTGTACCGTTTAATTTGTATTTGTATAATATACATTGACTTTGAGCGGACCATTATCACAAGGCTAGATGTTGCTAATGCTAACAGGCTATGACTAACCTTTGGAGTCAATCTGGTGACGCTGGCCTCTTGGAGACCACCAACAATTAATCAAATAATGTCCTACAAATGATTAACATGTGAGGTAACGGTTTATATTACTGTCCTAGTAATACGTTTTAGTCAATACGTAGTAAGGCCCTTAAAATGTAAACACCTTACATTATGCTTTTCAGATCAGACTCTAAAAGTGCTATAATCATTCACATGTTGATTATACAATTATATTATTATTAAGGCTGTCAAACGATTACAATTTTTAATCAGATTAATCACAGCTTAAAAATGAATTAATCATGATTAATCACCATTCGAACTATGTCCAAAATATGCCATTTATTTATGTATATTGTTGTGGGAATGGAAAGATAAATGTAAGAAGGCGGATATATCCATTTAACATACAGTATCTATGTTTATTATAACATTTTTCTGCGTGTCAAAATGAAAGACAACCCACACACCTATCAATCATCAAACCGTGGGGTCTTAATTCATTACGTGTTGATTTCTATCAACGGGGGAGTACTTCAGGAAAGTCGACGGGGGGGGGGGGGGACGGGGACGGGGGGGGGCTAGTGGAGTACTTCGTGACCACAGAGTGTGAACGTTGTGATCAGCTGTTTTAGCGCAGTTCTCTAGTGAAGGGGGTGGGTGGGGGGGGGGGGGGAAGTCTCCCTCCGCAGCCGGTTGGCGTAGTTTTGGCACAATTCCGTTGAACAGACCGACGTTAACAGCAGCCCTGTATGTGCACACGGAGACCGACTCTGTCTGCCACTGGTGGCACGTATGGGGCGGGCCATTCTGCACATGCGTTAAATGCGTTAAATATTTTAACGCAATTAATTCAAAAAATGTATTACTGCCGTTAACGCGATAATTTTGACAGCATTAATTATTATTATATAAATTATATATATTTAAGGTGCTTATAAATTGGACATTTATAAGCACCTTTAAAAAATGTTATACAGGTTATAGAACACTATTATGTCATTGTTATTATTACACATTTATCAGCAGTAAACTGTGCTTTTTGCAGCTACCGGTTCTCAAGAGAGATGAATGCCTAGGTTCAAATGCCTTTTGTTATCAACACTAAATTGGGTGCCTGCTGATTTCACATTTTTCATACTCTACATTTTGTGTACACTTGCATACACATTTCCTACAATTCTTTAAGTAAATGTTTTGCTCTCTTCCCGATCATATCCCACCGTCTTTGCTTCGTCCTATCGATTGATCCCGTCTCCCCACGGCTCCGTTAATGTTCCTGTGCGTGATCTAATCAGCGGAGTGTGACTCTCTGATGGAGACAGGCGGCGTTGCCAGGTAACGTCACAGTGCTGCAGGCTCCTCTATTAGCTGAGTGGATTAGTGTGACCACTTACCTCTGACTAGCTCACAGCCGGACACCACTCTGCCGATCGCTAACTGGCTGTTTACAGGCCTGTCTGCGAATGACTGAACCAAACACCGCCTACCTGACTGACTTCCTGCTTTATAACTCTCTCACTGAGAGTCATTCCTCCCCCGTGCCTCGTTTATTTTCAGAAACATGAACTTGAAAGGTGTCAAACGTGTCCTTGTGTGTTAGTTTGGCTGCTCATGAACACTAGAGACTTTCATGTAAACTGGAGGAACCAAAGTTATTGACAGAGCTGACGTGAAAACTGACCTTGATTGACTTGGAGGGTCTGATTTATGGTTTGAGTTGAACTTTCTTGATGTCTTAAGGCTGGGCATGTATGACATGTATGAAGTAGTGTGTGTGTGTGTGTGTGTGTGTGTGTGTGTGTGTGTGTGTGTGTGTCTCTTTGTGTGTGTGTGTCTCTTTGTGTGTGTGCTAATCTGGCTTTTATGTCTGTTTTGGTTTCCATCTGACGTATCAGGTATCAGGCCGTCCCTAACTATGCCAGCATCATTTATATTAGCGATGGGTGCATTAGTAACAATAAAGTACATTATCCTAGTAGCCTCTCTCTTATATTGCAGTGATTGAATAAATAATTCAACTCCTTTGAGATTAGTTATGTTATGACAGTGCTTGTGTTTAAATGCTTTTTAATTGTCACATGTGATGACTTGCAGTTTGCTAAACAACTGACGTGGATAATATGTCTTAGTTGACATGAGAGGTGACACTCACTTACCCATAAAGACGTACACACAGTACACTGATTAATTTAAAAAACAGGAAAATACATATTGATTGAGTTTCAGAACTTTCACTAAAAGCACAGTTTTTTTAGGTCATACAGTAACTTCTTATAATGACATTTATAATTGAACTCAGGCTCAAAGTGACTCACTGTCTGACTCAATGTCTGCCTTCCTTATCTCGCACGCACGCACGCACGCACGCACACACACACACACACACAGTACGCTCTCCACACACACTATTCATTTCAATCTCCACAGCAATCTATACTACCTCCACCCCTCTCTAATCTGGCCTTGTCCTTTTCTCACCTGAGTTTCTACCCCAGGAGGATGCAGTGCTTCCTGATTGGCTACTTCACAGCAGGAAGTAACCGAAAGGGCGCATTGGCAGGGTTTTCTTAGCTAACAAGCGTCCGCTGCTAAGCTAACAACTAAGGATTCCACGTGGATGCCAACAACTGACATTTAAATACACTACGACTACGGGAATGTAATCAGCTTTGCACCAACCAATCATAAACCCTTAACTCATTTGGCACCGCTCTTGAATATAGATAGCGAGAGCTTAAGAGGACCTTTTTGTGTGTGTGTGTGTGTGTGTGTGTGTGTGTGTGTGTGTGTGTGTGTGTGTGTGTGTGTGTGTGTGTGTGTCCTGAGTCTGGTTTAATAAGTGCAGCCTGTCAGTGCAGCAGTCTGTGGTCAGTGGAGTCCTAGGTCAGCTGATTATGTCTTGATGAGGACTTTGAAGAAGATAACTTAATTTGTCCAAGGACTCTCCCTCTATGCTGCAGCTAACCATTAGCTAATGAAGCTAATGATCCACTCAGCGCCGTTTCACTTCCACCATTGACCTTCTCCTCTCTCTGTCTCCGTCTCCGTATCTCTTAGCAGGGGCGGACTGGGGGGAAGTGGCCCGGGGATTAATTGACAGACAGGCCCACTTAATGCGCGGCATGTATCAGCCGGCCGGCGACGAAAGTATGTTACTTAACAAAAAACCCTGCATTTTATGTTATTTTGGACCATTATTCATATAGTAATCACATTACCTGAGCCCTTGAGTTGCCTAGAGCAAAATAGTTACAGCATATATTTAGTGATTTTAATGTTAACAAATCATTGATGCAATAACATTTGGACCCAATTTGCCTGACTCGACACATGGGGAATAAAACATGGGCGTAGGAAGCATCCTCAATGTGGGTGAGACAATTTAACAGGGGGTGTGGGCAAGTGGTGGACCTAACCTCCTCTAGGGGGGTCCGGGGGCAAGCTCCCCCGGGAAGATTTTTTTTTAAAATGTTGAAGTTAAATGCATCAATCTGGTCCATTTTGAGAGCAACATTAGGGACTAAATCTATGGATACATCTCTCCACACCCATATGAAACTGAACTGTAAACAGATTTACTTTTTCTTTCAACATTTATTTGAACAGCAAGTGGAGGCAAAAGTGACTGCAATAAATAAACCTGCTAGCTAACTAGCCTAAACTCAGTAAAGCCCCTGTCACACTGTCCCGAAATTGACACCCGATGGACACACAAATATGGAATTGTGAATTTCGCACGAAGATGGCCCCGAACCACACACGAAGGCAACATTTACATTATATTTAAGACATACAACTGCAACGAAAGTACCAACAACAATTATGTTACAGTACTATGATACTGTACTGATATCTTCAGACTTTGTTCTTTACTTTCTCCGTCTTTATATGTAGAAGATATCAAGTTTTCTCCGTCATGTTGTTTCCATAGCAACAACAACTTCCTGTCAACTCGCCTTCAAAATAATATATTATATCCTTTTCAGTTTCACAGAACACAAATTGGGTTATTTACATAATATGTTTACATGATTTTGTTGTGCAATAAAACAACCCGATGGACACACGATAAAGGAAATGTTCAAATTCGGCTGTGATCGTAGCTGTGTCCATCGGGTCGTTAGGCTTTGGAGCTTGTTTATCCTACTGTAAGCAACTGCCAGCTAGGTCTCTCAGTCACTCACTCCTGATCGTTCACTGCGCAGTGACAGCTGCTACGGGCCTGATGTGTGAAAGTGAAACTATCTGATAGATAGAACATAGGTAGCCTATCAGAACGGCCCAGCCCAGCCGAGTGGCCGGAACACTTACAAATGTGGGCCGGTAGGATTGAAAACAAATTATTTTTTTGTTTGGCCCTCCGGCCCACGCACAGCACCGGCCCACCGGGAAAACTCCCGGTATTCCCAATGGCCAGTCCGCCCCTGTCTCTTAGTGTGCAAGTATTTCCTTTATGAACCCTTCATTTAGCAGGGAAGATACAATTGACTTTATCTGAACTCTATTTAAATTCAAGTTGTATTATGGCGCATTTCCACTGCAGGCCTCGCTCGGCCTCGCTCGGTTTGGTTAGGCCTTATTAGGCCCGGCTCACTTTAATGCTGCGCTTCCATTACAGTTTAGGAACTGGGGCAGTTACTATAGTAACGCAGTGTAGGCGGAGCCGTGACGTCATCTTCAATGAGAGCCCCAGAAAAACAACACAGCCGTTAGCTCTTAGCACTCAGAGCTCACAGCTCCTCATATCTGTTCAGAAACTAGACACAAGTTAAACAAGTACAAACCACAGACTGCCTGTGTCATGGAGAATACAGTCGCTGGTTTATTTATGTCTGTATAGGCCGTTGTTGTGAGTGTGGACGGTCGGAGCATATATAACGTTAGCTTAGCCAAGCTCCATTTAGAAAACACGCATTTTAAAAGGGTTTTTCGCCTGCCGTCTGTCTGCAGACTTGTCAAAGCATTAATTCATGGTTTTTACTAACCGGTATCAGTATGTTGTTACTTCGGCATCATTTAGAAACGTGTATTACAATTAAATCACGGTCAAATATGTTCATCTTGTTGTAGTTGTAGCCCCCTTGCCAGCGATTCTCTCTCTAGTTTAGCATACTCAGCCCGACTCAGCCTGGTTGTTCCTGGCCCTAGAACCACGATTTAGTCGGGCCAGAAAAAAGGTGAAAAAGTAGCCCCGGGCCAAAACTAGGCCAAGTGGAAACGCAACCAAAAACGGGCCCCGCACGGCTCGGCACGCTTAAAGCGAGCTACCCGCTGCAGTGGAAACGCGCCATTAGAGACACGCAGAGGAAGTGTTTTTATCTAATGTTTCATCAAGTCATGATTGAAGCTCTCTGAAGATTTTAATTGATCGGATCAGATTGTACTCAAATCCAACAGTGACAGATATCTTGATATGTTGTTTTATCATTGCAATTTAAAGCTTGTGAACTAAAAATGTCCTATTTAGTGATTTAAAACCATATGGTACATTTCATTTGACATGTTCTGCTCTGCATTATATCAAAGCAAATCATCATATTTCATCAAACCCAATCTGTCATCCATCAGATATGAACAGCATGTGACTTTAGGTGAAGTTAGGGTTATTCCTTCTAGAAAAGAGACCAGAAATATACAGAGATGTTATACCCCCATATTTATAAAGTCTCATGAGAGCTCAGATTTTACTTCACATAATGGAACATTGAGCGATGAGTGGAGAAAAGTTACACAATATATGTTATAAGAGCAAGTCAAATAAAGTAATTAAGAGAACAGTGAATAATATAATTTCAGTGTTTGCTGCATATTGTGGGTGTATTGTGTAAAACAATCCAAACGGGTGTTTAAGTTCAGAAGTTCTTCGAATGAAACTCATAATTAAACTAACTGTGACTCACTGTCTGCCTGCCTTTCTGCCTTTCTTTCTTTATGCAACAAAAAAACACCCTCTTCTTTAGAGAAGACCAGGAAATGATGGATACACGGATCGTGTTCAAATCAATAGGCAATGACTCTAAAGAATAATGATCACGCACCAAACACACATTCAGACTAAAGGAACCAGCTGTTTGGGAAATGAGAGAAGTAGAAAGTACAGGTATTTGAGTTCAACATGTAAGAAGTAGAAAGTACAGGTATTTGAGTTCAACATGTAAGAAGTAGAAAGTACAGGTATTTGTGTTCAACATGTAAGAAGTAGAAAGTACAGGTATTTGAGTTCAACATGTGAGAAGTAGAAAGTACAGGTATTTGAGTTCAACATGTGAGAAGTAGAAAGTACAGGTATTTGTGTTCAACATGTAAGAAGTAGAAAGTACAGGTATTTGAGTTCAACATGTGAGAAGTAGAAAGTACAGGTGTTTGAGTTCAACATGTAAGAAGTAGAAAGTACAGGTATTTGTGTTCAACATGTAAGAAGTAGAAAGTACAGGTATTTGTGTTCAACATGTAAGAAGTAGAAAGTACAGGTATTTGAGTTCAACATGTGAGAAGTAGAAAGTACAGGTATTTGAGTTCAACATGTAAGAAGTCAAAGTAAAAAGTCGTCAGAAAAATAAGTAGTGGAGTAAAGTACTGATACCAGAAACATGTGCTTAAGTACAGTAACAAAGTATTTGTACTCCACTACTTCCCACCTCTGGTCTCCACTCACCGGGACACGCCTGCACGTTACAGTCCTGGTAGTCGACCGGAGACCCTCGGCAGGCCACGGGCGCGCTCTTCCCCTCCGGCCCGGAGCACGACCTCCGGCGGGTTCGGTACCCTTTGGCACAGCTCTGAGAGCAGCTGGACCACGTCTCCCATGACGACCAGCCGGCACCAGCCACTCGCACCACAGGAGTCTTCAGAAGCTCCTCCACCAGGGCTAAAGAGAGAAGAACCAGAACAATAATCAGGATCCAAGGTTCAAGATTCAAGGCTTTTATTATTATTCGTACATAGCTACAGTTTAGTTATGACAATGAAGATATGAGGTCGGAGGCTCCTCCAACAGCGCAACACAATAAAACAGATAACATAGTTAAAACAATGCAAGTAAATACAAATAAAATAGAATAGAAATAGTGCAAGGAGAGTCTATTACTGCCGAATTGTATTCCATATTTTATTCCATTCTATTTCTATGTAAATACTGCTATATCCTTTTATTATGTTTATGTTATTTTATATGTATGAACCATGACATCAATTCAAATTCCTCGTATGTGTAAACCTGCCTGGTAATAAACCTGTCTCTGTCTGTGATTGGAATATGATATATTAGATCAATAATTTGTAATATGATCAGAATCCCTTTATTAGTCCTGCAGTGGAGACATTTACAGCGTGACAGCAAAAGTGGCATAGCAGGTAAAAAAGGCATGGAATAATAAATAGTAAGCTAACTTATATTATACATATAGAGAAAGCACACATTAGTAGATATAGAAATAAGAATGAAGACACATAAGTGCACATGGTTGCAACAGTCTGTATTGTGTGGTGGTCTCTAAGGTGTTGTACAGCCTGAAGGAAAAGTAGATCAAAGCCCCAGAAATAAATATATGCAGCGCTGTCAGATTGAGAGTTTTAAGGAAATAGAGAGAGATGTGAAGCATGCAGATCTCTTGAGTGAAAGTCACACAGTGTGTTTGACTTTGCCTGCAGGCATTTCTCGCCATATGTCCTTCCCGCAAACTCTATCTGTGTCTCTCATGCGTCCCCCGTTCCCCTCTGTCGGCGTTTCATCAGTGTGTCGGAGTCGATGTGGCCCCACAGGACGATGACAGGCGGAGACAAGCAATCGATTCACCAGTGGAGAGCAGTGGCCTGTGACCCTGTGTCGCTGAGTGTGTGTGTCGGTGTGTATATGGAGGAGCTGGACTGAGACCCCGTCACTAACCGCGCGTAGGGGAGCTAACACGGCTAACGGAGGGCCATTTCAACATGTCATGCTCCGACTGGAAGAATCTATGCAGGCTGCCTCTTTCTGTGTGTGGTGACTGTGCATAACTGTGTGTGTGTGTGTGTGTTTTTCTGTACACATAAACACATAACTGATTATTAACTTATTGACATTTCCCGGCACAAACACTTAAATAACGTTCGTCTCTATAACCATTTAAAACTGGTTTATTATAGTTTTAAGGATGAAGATTACTGGATAGGTTTACTTGGTACAGGCTAAAGATGGAAACAGTTCAAACCTCAGTGTGGAGTCACTACTCATCAATAACATTTGGACATTGTCACAAGACAGGAGCCATCAGGAAACCTTCAAATTGGATCCTAACCCCTTCAGATAGAGTTAAAAAATAAGTGTTGTTCAGTATGGACACTATGCAATATAATAATAATAGATTTAATTTGTTAGCGTTTTTACAGGTGCTCAAAGACGCTATATGGGCAATATGGGCACTGTACATTTGTTGAAAGAAATCCTTAAACTCTACCTCACCAAAGATGATGGAGGAGGGATCCCATGTAATCCTATGACAGTTGCTTATTGAAGCATAAGTACAAAATGATCCGCTGATTTCCAGAGGTCTGTTTCTCAATGGGAATAAATATCTTTGGGCCCAATGACGTCACGCTTGGTTAGAAGAGAAGCCGGCCCATCCTCGGGTAGCAATGTATATTTTATACTTATGTCTTTTGAAGAGATATGAGAAAGGGCAGTGGGTTAACACACCTTAGCTTATCTTTGGTGAGTACATTTTTCTCATCATCACTAAACTCTGTCCGGTGTCTGTTTAGCTTATTAAGGAGAGGAAGGAAACCTCTGCTAATATGTAATTTCTTACTTGTTGTAATCCTCTTTTCATTTGGGTAGAAAGGAAAACAACCAGTTTTATTGCCTCAAAGTAATAAGAAGATAATTTTTAAGATAGTATAACTCAACCACATATACATGTAATTCTCTGTGTGTCAATTACTTCTTTCTAAATATGTGAATCCCATGTTAAGGTAGTTTTTCCTTTATTGCAGTAGCCTTACTGACCCCCCTCCAGTGTATCTTTAACTCACTGTCTGTCTCGCAGGCGGCGGTCCCGTCGTTGGGGCAGAAGCGCGTCTCCACCTTCCTGCGTCCGATCTGCAGCTCGTGGGGGTCGGACAGGTGAGCGCGGCACATGTAGCGTATCCTCTGCTCCTGGCGAGCCCCCCCCTGAGTCACGTTGACGGGCATCCAGGGGGTCCAGGGGGTGTTCCTCTTTACCTCGGGACATGCCTCCAGGTTACACGCCTTGTACTCCTGCAGGTGGGGACAAGTCAGTGGGTTTTATTGTTTTATTCTTAATTTAACTTTTAAAAACACATTTTGAGAAAAAAGTTAAATTCTGGGGTATTTTTTTTAACATTATTAATTGTTTTATTTATTTATTCTACTATTTCAATAATTAGACCGTTTATACATCCGAAAAACTAACAAAATGAGTAGAAGTGGGAGGGCAGAAAGCAAAGGTTATACAGAAGTAGCTCTCCAGTTAGTCATCCAGTTGCAGGATAAAGAAAAAAGATAATTCTGTAATTAAAAACTCACAGAGATACACAATTCTATATATACATACAAATACATATGTACACATATACATACATACACATACATATGTACACATATACATACACCCATTTCTAGGGTGAAAATCAAATAATAAAGTAATAGAGCGGTGCAGTCATGACTTATTTCTGCAGGCCAACTCAGAGCTTAGCATTGTGCAAGTTCGCCTTGAAAAAAAGCAACGAGATACTTCCATATGATTTGGAATATTGCAGAAAATAGAATCACAAGCTTATGGTTCTAACATGTGTTGTTCAGCAGTATAATCTCCTCATATAAACACAGTTTGTAATGTTTTTTAAAGCGTAACTGCAATCGCTAAAAGGCTAACGTCAGACTGTACCGAACTTTCCAAACGGTCTCATGCCTTTATGTCACCTCCACCACTTGGCTAAAAGAGAGTTATATTCGGCGTGGTGACGTTTCTCATTTGCTCACGTAATGCTATAACAACATCACAGTCACATGACGTTACCACCAATAAGCTAAAGGCGGCTAATGTTCAGCGGTTACAGTTACATGCCCCTCTCCACAGAATCATCAGCTGCTACCATCACCAGTGTGTTTATCTTGATGCTTGTCACAGAACCCCCCCCCCCCCCTCGATTATACATCTCCTCGTCTGTTTTAATGAACAATTATCTTTACTTCAGTCACTTGTCTCCTGATTGAGTGGTTTCGCAGCTCTTATTTTACATTTTTTGTACATTTGAGGAGTTCTTTTTTCTCAAGAGTACCCTTGTGGTAAATTCCTATCCTGGAAATTAAGTGTTGAATTGAGTTTTATATAAATGTGACCCATTGGTTTTGAAGATGTTTGTCTCTAGTAGGGCTGCTCAATTAATTGTATTTTAATCGCGATTACGATTATGGCTTGCAACGATTACGATAACAACGTAATCGAAATAAAATGATTATTTTTTTATTATTATTATTATTAATATATATATGTTTTTTTTTGGTTTTTCAGTTGAGTTATACTTAAAGTTCAGGGTAATCAACTGTTAAAAACATACTGTTCAAAAAATGTTTCTCCAATAAATGGATGTTTTCAAAGTCAATGAATAATCGCATTTAATAATCGCAATTACAATTATTGACCCAAATAATCGAGATTATGATTTTTGCCATAATCGAGCAGCCCTAGTCGTTGATTGAGCGCTTTTATCCAAAGCAACTTACATACTCAATACTGTGGCCAATCCCCACAGGAGCAATTTGGGATGAAGTGTCTCAGGGACACAACGACATGCAGTGGGGTTTGAACCTGTGACCCCCTGAACCCAACACCAACGCACTAGTCCACTGCACCACAGCCTCCCTCCCTAGATCAATAAGATACGTTCAACACCAATCTCTCACTCTACATACAACACTGTGTCCTGAACTGTTTCTATAAAAAGCACACCTGTGTGTTCTAATGTTCAAGGAGATGTTGAAATATCATGTTTCCCCTTAAGAACTGAACGGTCCCAAGAGACTGTCAATCACCACACAGCGTCAAAAATAGTATGGCATTTTTATCACAATAAAATCATTAATGTGAAAAACAATATGTCACTTTTTAATTTAAAAGACGTGTTTGTTTTGTAAGCAGACTTAATGTTTGCCGTGGAGGGAGAATCTGTGTTTATCTCCGCTGTCATCATCACCTGTTTAATGATTTTGCACTCTCTGTACTAAAGTGTCGCCTACATTTAGACTCCAACACACAAAGGATTAACACATACAGATCAACATTATCTTACAAAGCCACGGCATTTCTGTTCAAAAACTATTTTAACACTTCCTTAAACTATCAAATGTTGTCTTAAAAGCAGAGAGGCAGGGAGACGGATCCCCCTGAGGCTGACAGATGTTCTTCTATGTCTCTGTGTGTTTAACTGTGTGTGTGTGTGTCTGTCTGTGTGTGTGTGTGTGTGTGTGTGTGTGTGTGAGTGTCTGTGTGTGTGGCCTAGCATTACTATACTTGTGGGGACCTAAATCTGTTTACACAGTCACGTGTGGGGACTCGCCTCCCTTATGGGGACAAATTGGAGGTCCCCATAAGGGGATCATTAATTTTAGGGTGAAGACTTGGTTAGGTTTAGGGTTAGGGTTAGGCATGTGTTGGTTATGGTTAAGGTTAGGATAAGTCTCCAGGAAATGCATGTTAGTCAATGTAATGTCCCCTGAAGTGATGTATACATGGTATGTGTGTGTGTGTCTGTGTGTGTCTGTGTGTCTGTGTGTCTGTGTGTGTGTCTGTGTGACTGAAAAATTATAATACAATTAAAAAAAAAACAATTAAAAGCAGAGAGGCAGGTAGATGGACCCCCTGAGGCTGCCAGATGTTCTTTGTGTGTTTAACTGTGTGTTTAACTGTGTGTGTGTGTGTGTTTCTTACCAGTGCACATCCTGGGCAGCTGTTGCCGTTCTCACAGCTGCGGACCCTGGAGTGGACGCCCCCCCCACACTCGGTGCTGCACTTGGTCCAGGAGCCCCACGGGGACCAGAAGATGGGCTGAGGGCAGGAGACGCCTTCATTACAGAACCTGTGGAGGTAGAGGAGGAAAGTTGTATCAAAAACACTGTACAATGCAGTCAGTGGGTTATGACGCTTAGCTTCCAAACAAACTTTGCGGAGATCGTTGTCGGATTTTGATTCAGGCGGCATACAAACATGAAGACAAACTTCCTCGCTTCAAAGTAAATAAAAGTTCTCCATATCAAAAAAGAACAAAAAGAATACGGTCAAAAGACTATACCGCTTCCCGTCTAATCACAATATCAACCAAACATTCAAACCGTAATGATGAAAGGAAAATGGCTCGAACACACATTATTAATTGAGACTTGACCTATTTGAGAGTCAATTGATTTGATATACGTTATTAATCCCCGTGGGGAAATTGTTTCTCTGCATTTGACCCATCCTAGTGTTAGGATGGCTGCCATTTTGAACAGCGCCCGGGGGGGGAAGTGTAGGGAACGGTGCCTTGCTCAGGGACACCTCGGTAGCACATGGTCTTGCCGGGACTTGAACTGGTGGCCTTCCAGTTGCCAAGCCAAGTCCCTATCGACTTCGCCACCACCGCCCCAATTGTCTTAAGAATTGACCTGATGTTGAAAAGCAAAAGCATTCAAGTCTCAAGTTTAAACCGTCATAACATGGGATAGAGTTTGAATATAGGACTAGGCGATAATTAAATGTCACTGTAACTGTCATATCATGATGAATATATGCATAAGAAGGTTGTGTAACCTGCTTCAAGGTTCTGGGTTACACAACCTAAATTGATAATAAATAGCAGAGACTAACTCTTTTTTTAGAAACCAAGTGAAATATTTTGAGGGAATTTCAATGGAAGTTGCAGTCCACTTTACTTTCTCCATATACCATCAATATAATGTGATTTACAAACCAGACTCCAGTTATATCAACATTAGAAATATGAAGTCACTTTATTTGTGTGCAAAAGCATTCAAATCTACATTTTTGCCCATCGTACTGTAACACAGATTAGGAGTAGAGATTCCACAAAACGATTGTCATTCATATTGTCAAATAAGTCAAATAGAGGGGCTCCTGGTGCACAATTTAAATTGGTAAACAAGCACAAACTAATTCAAACAGAAAATATTGTAAAATATTTTGAATTGTATTTAAAGTTGTTGTTTGTTGCACTTGATACTATCAATGCAATATAAATCAGAGTCCAGTCCAAGTCACTTTCTTTGTGTGCATGCATGAGAACAGTCAGTGTATTTTTATATTCACTTGCATTTGCACTAGAGTTCTTATTTAAATGAGAAAAGACCAAGTGAATTTCATCTGGTAACAAAGCAGTAAACAGAAACAGTTACTTTGTGAATAATTCATGTTAACTATTCAATGTTACATATTGTCTCTATCTATGCTGGAGGTCTCTTTTCGCCACATATTTGAATATAACTGGGGAGAATGATTACCGTATTCCATCTCATTTATTTGGTTTGGTAAAAAGCATTTAATCATGAGTTTGAAAAGTTACTTTATGAACGTGTGTGTGTGTGTGTGTTATGTGTGTGTGTCCTCACCTCTCGTCTCTGCTCGGGCCCACACACACTCGTCCACCGTGTCGGGGGGACGGGTTGTTACAGGATCGCTGACGCAGCTCGAAGCCCGTCCCACAGGTGGTGCTGCACTGTCCCCATGACGACCACGGCGTCCAGCCTCCGTTTCTATGGCAACAGACATATGGTAAGGCAAGGTAAGGCAAGTTTATTTATACAGCACCGTTCAACACAAGGCAATTCAAAGTGCTTTAGAAAAATGAAAGACATTAAGAAACATATAAGATGGCATTTGAAAACACTCATTTCAAAGCAAAGATAATAAAACATGAATAACAAAAGGTCCATGAATTAAAGTGACAGTTCAGTGTGAGACACATCTGAAATGCTTTGCTCTGACTCTCAATCATTGCTCACTTTTTTAGCAGAAATAGTTTTCTTTCACCTCACTTTCTTTCTACTTTCTTTTGTAACTTATCCTTTAGTTATTTCGAGTGTTTCATGCTAACCGAACCCCCCTTTGGAAAATGCTAATCTGCAACCCAATATTCCCAAAATTCAACGGACCCTGGCATATCATATTTGTGTAGCATATCAAATGAATTTGCTCCCAGACGTTCATAGTTTTGGACCCCATCTGTAACCCCACTTTGTGAGATATTAGCAACACATTTCATATCAGTCCCAAATCCTGCGTGATTATTCAGCAGAGCTATTCGTATTATTCTTCCACCGGATGTTCTCTGAAAGCTCAAGGGGGGGAAAGAAAAGCAGATTATTCTCATCATAGCTGTGGTTCAGAGCTTCTGCAAACAGACATGCAAACACACAGGGAAACATTCATTCAATTTGCTGAAGTGCTTTGTTCCTGGGCAGCACTTCTTCTCGTGATTTAATTGCCACTTTCAGCAAAAGCACAATTCAATTTCGGCACCACGGATTAAATCTGGTGCAGCGACTGGGTGAGATGAAGGTGGCTGAGCCCTCTGTCTGTGCTGAACTTGGCTGATTGGCTGGTTCCCACGGAGACGGAGGTGATGAAAGGTGTCACAAGGAGAACCTGGGTGTCGCCCACATTTTCTAATAAGATTCCTCACGTTCATGATCTTTTCGCATGTTCTGTCGGAGCGTAAATTGAGACCCGGGGTGAGGGACATTGCTGCGACAATGATAGAGTTAAAGGAAAAAGATGTTGGCGCTGTCATTGTCACGATCTGTCTGTGTTTTATTTTTGTCCTGTGTAGATCTGTCTTTTTGGTTTCCTGTTGTAGTTTTGAAACGTGTTCAACCCCTGTCTCGTCTGTTGCTTCCTGTCTCTGGGTGCGTCTCCCTTCGGTTATTTTTCATTTCCTCGCTCCTCGGGCTCTGTATCACCGGAAGTTGATTTGTCTGTGCCATTTAGAGTAGCGTCCCAGTGGCCTTATTTGTGCCGGAGGACCGAGGATCGAAGAGCGAGGAGCGATAACGGAGGAGTGATAATCGAGGAACTACCAGACCATCCTCCGGTGAAATCCTCAGACACTCGCCCCGCCCCCTTACTGTGTATCGCTCACTGATTGGACGATGCAGTGCATGCTGATCTGGCTGCTGTCAGACGATCAGCTGTGCGGCGTCATCACAAACGGACGTCGCTTCAAGTGGCGCTCCGGAGGTAACGACGTCCCATTGCTCTTAAAACTCATGTCCCTGCTTCTCGTGGTTTCCTTGCGTCTCTCCATGCTTCCCTGGTGGGAGGGACTAGACGACGCAAGTGAGGGACGCAAGGAATCCATTTAACCGAAGTGAAACGCACCCTCTGTGTTCCCTCCTGCCTGATTACAAATGAACACATTTGACTGCAACCTGAGAGTTTAAATGAATTGTAAATTATAGTTATATTGACACATGTATAGTATATATGGAAATGAGTTTTACACTATTACCAGCTGTTGCTAACAACCAGCTAACAAGCTAACCCAACTTCACTTTCTGGCATCTTTCGATTCACAAATACAGTAGGTCTTATTCTAATTTTTAGTTAATATACAGCAGATCAACAGTTCTTGACTTTGTTTTAGGGGAGAAGAGGAAGACACAACTGGCTGATATCTGTCTTTACTAGAAGTTATTGTTTCACTATCATCATCATCATCATTAAAATAAAAATCATGGTATATTCTCCTCCCTACCTGGAGCAGTTGGACACCTCGATGGTTGAACCCTCACAGTTTTTGCCGCCACATCGAGGCCCCGGGCTGTCACATGACCTGGAGCGACACAAACAGGAACTGACGCCGTCCACGCCGTCATCGTTGTTGCAGGGTTGCCATGGCGCCCACGGTCCGAAGCCGCCATTGGTGGTTTGGTTTCGCAGCTGGAAAAGACACATCGTTCAGTCATCAAGATAGAGAGATCAGGTCAGCAAACATCCACTATCCTACACTCACACAGTTTAAAGCAGAAGTGGTTTTAGAGTTTTTGTGCCAGACTTTCCTCTAAAAATGACCAGAGAGGTTTCTAAGGATTATAGCTTCTTCATTTACTCCCATAATAATTTATAGCAGAATAAATGCACTGCAATTGACTTCACTTTAGCCAAATTTGATTTAGTTGATCTAAGTGCAATCTAATCCATTACATTTAGTCCAATTCACCTTCCTTTCTTCCTTCCTTTACTATTGCTATATCCTGTACAACACACACTGAGAGCCTTAAAAAAGCTTGTCAACGTTGGGAAACTAAATGATATTAAGAATCTACTCACACACAACATTTGCAAGAAAAAGATGGTACTTAAGTACAAAGGTAAATATTTCTGACTACTATTAGACCATCATATATTCAGCTACTTTACAGGAGGTAGCTTGATGACTTCATATCTATCTATCCATCCGTCTGTCCGTCCGTCTATCTATCTATTTACCTAACTATCTATCTATCTATCCATCTATCCATCTATCTATCCATCTATCCATCTATCTATCTATCCATCTATCTATCTATCCATCTATCCATCTATCCATCTATCCATCTATCCATCTATCCATCTATCCATCCATCCATCTATCCATCTATCCATCTATCTATCCATCTATCTATCTATCCATATATCTATCCATCCATCTATCCATCTATCCATCTATCCATCTATCCATCTATCCATCTATCCATCTATCCATATATCTATCCATCCATCTATCTATCTATCCATATATCTATCCATCCATCTATCCATCTATC